AACACGTCAACATTCTACCCATTCACTTGAATGAGATTTGGGGGGATTTTTGGGACTTAAAAATATAAAAACTATAAATTGTACACTCCAAAGAATTACAAGCCTTGGTATTGCAGCTAAGTAGTAGTAATAATAATAATATTAAATTAAAACAACCCAACATGTGGCATACTGTATTTTTCAGCATACAGGAAATTTTGAAATGCCTCTAATTCCCTCCCTATTCTGTAATCCATGCTCTGTATAGGTAGATAAACACTCAAATATTATTCCTTTCACTGCTGACCAAATACCTAGAGACATCCAACCCCCTTGGTTTTGTTTTCCTTAGGTTTCAGTTTCACAGTCCACTCCTCCAACTACAACTAGGACTGAACAGTTGTTCTTCGTGATCTTTGGAGTTGTGTTAAGGTAAGATTTCCATCTCTTTTGTTAAATCCAATAATTACTTGCAATTACTGTGTAATGCACTTCAACATATCTCTGAAGTAGTTGAAGATAATATTGTAGTTAGCTGTAGCGCATTCAGCTGCAAAAGAAAGTCCCACGCATTCAGTTAGTCAACATGCCTCTTTGTGTATGCAGCTGGATATCATGACTCAGACGTCTGGCCTCTCCTATCAATAGGCATATGTTTATAGACAATTTTAATGAAGACAGAGGTGTGAGTCTATGAAGACATGTTGCCAAATGACCAGCTGAAGAATAGTTTACACAAATGTGAAAGTGTGCTCCTCTGAAAAAAAAAAAAGAATAAATTTGCTTCAAGTTACTAGAATAAATTGAAAAGATAAATGGCCATTTAAATTTAACTGAATAACCAAATAAATAGTATTTTGTATTTTACATCTCATTGAGTTCATGTATTGTCATTAGTTTCAGACAAGGGCAGCAATGTAAATAAAATTTAATATCATAAGTTCTCTGATTTTGGTATTTGAGTGTTGATGAATATAATCTCCTGGTCTACGTTTAGATGGGTGCAATATTCAATCTACTTGAGCAGCACAGACTGGAATCATACTACAACCAGTTTGTTCAGATGGGTGTTAAAGATGAAAAAGATTTCCTGGACAGTGTGATGGAAGAAGATTTAAACAGCATTGGTAAGAATGCTTGATATACCAAAGACAAGCTAGGACTTTAGAATAGCTCTCTCATTACAAACATGTTAACAAAAAAAAGCTGTGCAAATATAGAGAATTTCAAATCTGTGTATCAGGGTCTAGCTTTTTGCAGTATTTCAGATTACTTTCTCTGAAAGCTGAATTTATTTTGTCTCTTTTACAGGTTTAAGTCATGTGGAAAAGAATCGTTTTGCAATCATGAAAGACTTCATTCAAAGACTGAGCACTCCAGAACGTCAAATCCTAACTGGCAGACCGGTGCAAAAGTCAGTGAAGTCGTTCAGTCTTCAGTACACATACCCCAAATGTCTTAAACCAAAGGTTATTTCAGGTAACAGGAACACATCTTTTAAAGGCTCTTATCCTAAATGCCCCCTTTGGCATGATTAAAGTAATTTATATATGGACATGGAGGTGAAATGTTTAAAATTACAATGCTACAGATATGGATCCGGCACAAAACACAATTGAAGACATAATGCTGAGAATCTGTCACCTTGAAAATGTTGGAAACACCAAAGGAGTTTGTCTCTACACAGTAGATGGGATGCCCTTGACAGACGATCCCTTCTTCAACACATGTGAGTCAGAAATGGAGGAGTAAATGATTCTATACAGTTAGGTCTATTTAGGTTTTGGACACTGACCTTTTTAAAAACTATTTTATTGTGTACCAAAACATGTTAGTTATATTTAGAAGATTAATATGAGTAATAAGTCTAATAAGACTTTCATCTGGGACTCAAGGGATTGAACAAAAATACTCCAGTAACTTTTAAGGAATTGTAGTCACTTTTATACACACTTTATTTTCAAGTGCTTTAACCTCCTAAGACCTGAACTCTTCTACAGCATGCATTTTTAATTTCTCTTTGATATTTGGACTGATTGGGACCTGATGAATGTAAAAACAAAGAATTACCAGATTTATTTATTTTTTACCTGATTTTTGTTTCTAAGAAAAATGAGAGCCACATATAAGGATATTCGTTTAAAATTTCAATAGGATAGTAGCAGTATAATGTCCCCGTAAGTAGATATCAGGCCCTTGTAGAGCAAAGTTTTGTATTTTGGTTTAAATAACCCAAAATGTGATGTCCACATATGTGGACGCCAGGTCCTAGGAGGTTAAAATGTGTCTGTCCAAAAATACTTAACTATATTTGTCAAGTCATCTTAATTTGTGCACTTTTCTCACGTGAAATGGATTGATGCATCTACTCCAGGTGTTTAACTTGATTTCACTCAATTACCA